CTCCTCTCCTCCTCTCTGTCCTATCTCCTCTCCTCCCCTCCTCTCTCCTCTCTATCTCCCCTCCTCTCTCCTCTCCTCCTCTCTGTCCTATCTCCTCTCCTCCCCTCCTCTCTCTCCTCTCCTCTCTATCTCCCCTCCCCTCTCCTCTCCTCCTCTCTGTCCTATCTCCTCTCTCCTCTCCTCCCCTCCTCTCTCCTCTCTCCTCTCTATCTCCCCTCCTCTCTCCTCTCCTCCTCTCTTCTTGCGTGTGACAGTGATAATAATCGCTCTGATCGTTTTTGGGGTTCCGAGGGTTAAAGTCGTTCATGTGAGATGACGTCGGTCTCTTGGTCTAAACGTGACTTCTTATATTTTGGTAGAAGTTGTTGTTCTGCAGATTCATTTCATGTTCTTCGTGGTGCGTTTGAGAGAATCGTTTCTCTACCAGAACAATTGAATCAGAAGCAGATTTGCTGACTCGGCGTCTCTTAGCAGACACTTTGAACCGTCCGCTTTACAACAAAGCGTGGCGTCCCTGAACGCGTCTTGGCTCCAGCATTGGATTCCCTTCACAACTCAAGAGGTACGATGATATTAGTCACAGTAACTCCTCACAGGGACACAAGTGATATTCAGAACAATGCACATGACACATTTACACCGTGTAGTAACACACACTGATGTCGCAGTGCAGGAAGTCATCCCTTCTTTTCGATGTAATCTCTCTTTTTAAAGTCATAATCTTTGAGATTGTTCATCCTTTCAAACACATTTTTATTTCAAATTAAATTGTCATTTATGTTTATGTATAGTGTAATTACCTCTCTGTAGTTATTACTGAGTCATCATTTATTACCGGTAATAGAACCCAGAACACTTCCTGCTGCTGCTTTAAACCGACAAACAACAGGGAGGCTTTTATTGTGAAGCAGCAACAGGAAGTTCATTGTTTCCAGAGGTTAGCCCTGATTTCTATATCTGTCGTGTGTTCTCTCATGTTTGTCAGCAGATCTTTGAGACTGAGTCACAGTGTGATCAGAGATAGAAGCTCTTCTTCTTCTCTTCTGTCAATAGGAGTAGCTGTGTGATCAGTGATCAGTACCTATAATTACAATATTATAATTATTGTTATTAACCACCAGTAACTGTATCTCATCCTGTACAGCGCTGTGTTTCATCATGTGATGCATTAGAGGCACTAAAGCGTGTTCTCGTGTGTCGCCGTGTGAACATGTAGCAGTGAGGTCCTGATGAGATGTGTTCACAGTTAAAAGATGAAACACAGAGAAACAGAACGGTTCTAGTAGAACCCTCTGGGTTCTGTCCCCTCCGGGTTCTACTGACGCTGTTGAATTAACTCCTTCATTACGGTGTCGTCTGCAAAGAAGGAAATAACCAAATTAAAATCAGTTATAATTCAGAGACGAGCGTTCTGTTTTCACGTCTTCTTTGTGTTGAGATGAAACGCGTGTGATCAGCAACTCGTTTGTTTCTATCGGTGAGAGTTTTAATGAGCGACCGGAGAGTTTAACAACAAAACGTCTCCGCTTCACTTCAGGAGAAGCTTTGTGTGCCATCACCTGCTACCTCTATTGAGAGGTGACTAAATATAAAGATTATTAGATGTTTGATCTTTGACGTGAATCGTCTCACTTTGTTTATGGTTGAAATGGAGCTTTGTAGGAGTTAATAAATGTATTTCTACTTAAATCAAAGTCCTGCATGACTCAGCGAGGCGGCAGGAGAAGAGTCCTCGCTGCACACACAGGAGGAGCGCGGCGACGGCACAGAGTTATGTCTTGATTCTGTAGATTTTATGTGTGATAGTTGTATAGGAGGTCTATTCTGACCTGTATGAATAGCTTCTGCTTCATCCCAGCCTCTCTCTCTGTCTGTCCAAATGTCCCTCCTCCCCTCCGATGAAGCAGTTGTAATGTCATTATATGTCAATGGACCAGAAACCCTTGCCAGTCTGTAATCCTTAGTAACCTGCACGAGATCATAGACAGAGTGTGAATAACAAAGGGATAGATGGAGGTAGAGAACACGGCGTCCACATTGACATATAATAAGCAGTAAGACGTGACACAGTGACAGCACCACAGGTTATATGGACGGGATGTTGGGAGACAAATCGTATTGCTGAGACGTGCACCGTCTGCTCACACTGTAGTTTACGGATCCATCCGCTCACACAGACCTCCTGCTGAGCCGTGTGTTCGGCACGAGAGGTGAATGTTGTCGTGTGGAGGTAGAAATGCAGATCTGAGGTCAGTTTGTGTTTCACGTGAAGCCTCGACGAGCAAATATTGAGCCTCAGGTCCAGATATACAGGACGTAATGTACGGTTACACTAACCGGGTCTGATGGAAGCTTCCACTCTGCTGTTCTATTCATTTTATCTTTGCAAACAATAACGCAGAAAGTTTCAGGATTCTCACGTTTCACCGCCTGAAATAAACAACTTTAACTGCAGATTACACGTGAAGAAGAAGTGATGAGTCTACTGCAGCTCATCTCAGAGGATTAGTGCAGCGCTCGGTTTAAGAAATATCATTTAACAACATATAATAAAGACCTTTGTGATGACAGAACAGCTTAATACCGTTACTTGATATTTGCACTAAACTCGTATCAGTTATCAGACGCCTCCTTCCAGCCGTTGTTGTGCGTGTTCATTAATATCGATGAGATGAATGTGTTCCTCTTTAAACAGAAGGTGTAACTATCAGCTCTGCTGGTTCCTTTCATTAAAGAGAGAGAGCGATGTGCTCAGTGGGCACTTAGTACGGCTCCAGCATCTACCAGCAACATCACTGTGATGATGTCACTGTGAGCTGCACATTGAGCTTCTCCTCACTGATAAATGACTGTTTGTCTCCTGACGTCTCGTCCAGATTTCACGCCGACATGGAAAACGTCCACAAAGTGTGAAGACGAGTGCGTCTGTTCGACGGCGTCATCGCTCTGCTGCTAATGATAATCTCTCTTCAGAGCGCTCGGTGCAGGAAACTACCGAAGCCTCTCTGTTCAAAGTGAGTTCATAACTATAACTCAACAGCGAGCACTTGAATGGTTACGAAGCCGGCACTGTGGATGAATCACTAACGTGTGCTGCGTGTTCCTCTGCTGTTTACCAGAGGAACACGCAGCACATGCTAACAGACACATGTGGACTGAGAGGCTGTGTGCTGCTGAAGGCCTCTGGACTGTGTTTGCATCAAGACAAAGAACAGACGTTCCCGAGAGGACGAGACGCTGTGGTTCATGAGTGTGTTAGTGAAGGTGATGGTCAGCGTGCTGTGTGCTTTACACAGATGAGCTCTGGTGTCTGCAGGTTTAGGACGAGGTGGGTGGGGGGGCGATGGACGGATAAAATAATAGAATGGAGGAGGGGTAATAATAAGAGACCAAATTTGATTTCAATCAGTGTCCTGGGCCGATGTGGCTCAAAGCACATCTACTCTGTGCTATCTGGCCGCCCTCGGCCCTAAACCCTCTCTCCTCTACAGCTGGGTGTACTGGAGCTCCACTAAGTCGGGGCTCGCGTCTGCGGCTGGATCCTTAAAGTAGAGTGTGGCAGTGTCTTCCCCCCGCTGGCCCGTCCGCCGGGCCCTGTGCTCGGTCACCTCTTTGGGCTGCTCCTGGCGACAGCGGTTGCCGTTCCACCAAGCCTCCAGCCCGGCCACCAGGCAGGCCAGCAGCAGGCCGGCGGCCAGGATGCAGAAGACGCCGGCGAAGCTGTGGAGCTTGAGGGAGCGGCCGTCGGGATGGGCGCTGGCGTGGCTGTTGAGGTCGCAGCGGCCGGTGCGAGGCCACCACTTCTGCTTCATGACGTCCAGGTCGCCTTTCTCCTGCAGCTCCAAGATCCTGAGCAAGAGGAAGGAGAAGCTAGCTCGTTAACGTGGTACATTCATGAAGAATGTGTTATTTAGTAATAGTGTTAGACGTCAGTTTAAAGCAGATTGCCTCTTAAGTTCAGAGGGTATGATTTAAATTCATTATCTACTCAACGTCTCCCTCATTGCCAGTGTTAGGCTACATCTGGTAAAAAGAGAAAAGAAGGTGTTTTACTAAATCCCGAATAAAGAGGTAAAATGAAACGCCAAAGTATATTTTACATTTTGTACTTCCGTGTCATTTGCAAGTGTTGATTGTAAAAAATAAATGGTTTTCAATCCACAATGGACGAATAGTCCAACATGTTTCTCAAGTCGACCGAAGGATTGTGCCGATGTCAGCATTGTTGAATCTACGCTGGTCACCATCTTTTCTGTCGCTATCTTTCTGAAACATTTAAAGACGTCGTGGCGATTCAGAGGTCTAAATAAAAACTACAAACAAGTGAGAAGATATGAAAATGATCAGTGACGTGAAGACACAGGCAGCAACGTTTCCTTCATGCATCACAGACGCGACGTGACATTCGTCATCGACACGCATTAAGTTTCATCCAGCAGGACGACTGACGCGGTTAATTAAGCAAACTGTCACGACCACTAAAGTACAATCTGCTGTTAGCTGCATTGAAGAATCGTTCATTTAATCTGCTCAACTCAGCACCAAGATGTTGAAGGTCACTGCTCTGCAGTCCTCCCCCTCCCCCGAAACACCCCGAGGACTAAATAGTTTTACAGCACAAATGAGCAGCAGAAGCAACAAAGTCTGCAAAGGTTATTAATGGCAGGATTATGGGATGGAAACCCAGGACAGAGTTAATACAGCAGTTATGGGACGAGGTATTAAAATGATGCTTTGGAAACGTGGAGATAATGGTTTCCTCTGTGAACAATAGCTCTGCCCTCAGTTTAACTCTCTCACACATTATTCTTGGTCGTCCCTGAACGCTTCGGGCAGTTGGACGCCTGCTGAACCGGGCCGGTTGCAAAAAAAACCATTAATAAACTGGCGGTTTTGTCTCCATTCAGTGCTGCGAATTAATCCCTAAATAAACAGGATTGCTTAATTAAAGAGGAGGGTGCAGAGGGAGGAGAAGGGGGGTGGGGGAGGGGGGGCCGGGACTGAGAGACGGTCCCACGAGCAAACAATGACCCCCGAGCATCAGACGCCAGAGAGGACACGCAGTGAGACCATAAACTCATGTTTACAATGTTTACTGAGGTAATAAAT